GTATAAACAGTAAAAAAATCAGATTTTTACATAGTTCTTCCCCCAAGAAACCAAGTGGGTTGTGTTCTTTATCCACTTGGTTTGCTGTGTTAAAAAATAAAAATAGTACAATAGGTTCTGGTTTCTATGTTTTGTTGTTTGTAATTTTATCAAGCAGCATCCCCTATCCACTGCATGTGGAAGCTCTGCAGAACTCTTCTGTTGTGTGCTCAAAGTGATTTACAGCTGATATATTTTGCCAACAATACCACTGTTCTGTTTATAATTATCATGCCTGGCAACTGTACAGATGTGGCTGATCCAGAGACATTATTCTGCTATTATACATCTGTACTGAGTATACAGAATGTTTCTGAGTTTCTTGTCTCACCCTAATCTTCTCTTCATGCCACCTGCTGTTCAAGAAGGGTTGTTCTGCTGCTGCATCTGTATTTAATATAAGCAGAAGATGCCTTAACTGAGGTTTCCTTAAACTCTTAGTTATCAAAAGCTATCAAGCATTAAACTTAAATTAATTAGGGCTAGGTATAGGGTGTATTATTTTCCTTGAGGATATTAACATCCTTAAGTGAAACTAAAAAGAACAAAACAAAACAAAACAAAAACCTTACATGGCATCTAATATTTGACCGAGTCTATAGTCTTGATGTCTATAGTATCTTAACATTTGTTTGTTTGTTTTTTAATATCATTGGGTAAGCATTTTCAGGGGTGTATTAAAACTTTTACAATAATGTAATGATAACTGATGTAGAGATGTCAACTCCAAAACTAACATGATATTTTAAAAAAATCTGGCATACTTTCAAAATGTTGTCTACAGGGAATACTGAGCTAAAAATCAAGGTGTAAGAACCCTGTAATCAATAAGATTAGACAGCACTGTATAAATTAAGCAGTACTATTAGGGTTTTTCTTGTGCCCCAAAAGGGAGCATTCTGGGGGGAGTTTGGGGCCCAGGCTGAGCACTCACATCATTCTAGTTCATTGATTCTGCTACTTCCCCCATCTTGAAAAATCAGAATCTGAGTAAGTGAACAAAAAGTTCTGTTTTTTTTTTTTTTTTTTTTTTTTTTTTTTTTTTTTTGGGGGGGGGGGGGGATTATTTACACTGCAAGTGTAAAAACCACCTCAGACAGGGTCAGTGTTGGGTTGCTTTGATCCATCACATCTGTGTCAGCCCCCTTTTAAGCCCACAAAGGCCAAAAAAGTCTCTGTTTGGGTTTTCTTGCTCTCACTATTGCCTACATAGTACATTATAGTCCTGATACCCTTACAGAATTGCTACTTTGCCTCCAGGCAGAACAAACAGTGTAGCAGGGCTCATCTCGATCTGTCAAAGGGTTTGAAGTACACTTCGGTAGCCAGCAACGGGACAGCCTCTCCATGCTCTTTTCACCAGAGTGCTACTCTTTGTGCGTTGTGAATTTTCTCTGTTTGCTCTGGCATTTTACATAGACTTTTGGATAGTCCAGCTCCAAACCACTGAAGGCAACTGCTTTCAGTAATCTAGGAAGGCAAGTTGATAACAGAAGAGAGTTTTAATATGCTTACCACAATTTTTAATGCTGAAGAGACTCATATGTGGCAATTTACTGAGCCCTTCGGGTTTCCAAAAGTTCTCCAAAAATTGTACTTATTTCTTTTATTATTATTATTCAACTTCTAAGCTTTCTCTTCTTCCCAGGCCACTCATAAGAAATGGCCTTTTTTAACCTGAACTCTTCTAGAGAAATTAATGAGATGCTTTCCAGCTGGAGCTGGTGGGTGTCAGGAGCAGCTGCAGGGTGAAAGAGCAAGCAAACAAGAAAGCTTAGAGAAATACCCATTAGATTCTTAAAAGCCCACAAGCTTCTGTTAATGGTCTAGGGTGTGTGTTTTAATGTAGTGTTAGGACATAGTTATGCTTCACAACTTCTAATGCATGTTATGACCCAACTTTTGCACATGTACCAACTGGTATACGTGCAAAAGCAATCTATATATTGCAGTGGACCAAATAATTATGCAGCACGGCATGAGAGAACACCACCTGTTCCTGAGTTGCTCCAGATCAAAACCAATATCTATCCTTTTGATTTATGTGATTTTTGTATATAGTGATAGTACTTCATATTCAGTGAGGAAGACTTCTCTTTAAAATTACTTGTCTTCAGTTTTAGTAGTAGGAGATAATGAAGAAATGGGAGTACCAGGAAAAACACTCTTGAACAGTGAAATAGAATCCTTTAAGAAAATCAAAGAGAAGTGAAGAAACCACCTGTCTTGATGCAGAGTGAATAGCAAGAATATACAAGGAATTATATCTTTAAAAACATCTGTTAGCAATAGTGTGTCTTATATAAGTTATTTATTCTAGAATTTCTATTATACTAGTGATTAGATGGATAAGTCTTTTACTGAAAGCAAATTCAAACAGTTACCTTTGGTCTACTTAGAGTACGTTATTCTAAGCTTATTGTTATTGTATTATGGAAATGATTTGATATGATTGTACCATGGAATTTTAAGTAGCATTGTGAATCCTCAGCTTGTTTCAATATTGTAGTTGCACATCACATTTAGTATGAAACTGTGAAGATTCACATCTTAGTTTCAGGTTTTATATTCTGTTAGTTTTAAGGTGTGATAATGTGCATCTCAGGGATGTTTGAAAATAAAAATGACAAAATGAAATAGTGTAAACAAAGAGCATTTCAGAACGCAAACTAACTTTTTTTTCCTTTGTAAGTAACAATAAATATTTTCATTAAGAATTAAAGTGAAGTTGTAATTATATGCACAAAATTTGGGATAGAAAGTGAATACTTTATCTGCAAAAATTTTCTGAAATTGTGTGACTACACTATCTTTAATTATACATTCTGTGTTTTAAACTTTTGCATGTGTACCATATGAAATACTTAGACTATAGACAGAGGTTTGTAGGCTTTGAGGATACTACTGAATATTTTTCAGCTTTCTGATGCTTTTCTCTTCATCCCCTCCTGCAGCTGCTCCTGATTAGCTGAGGATCAGGTGGCCTTGGTCACTAATCAAATCCAGCTGGGAAGTTGATTAATTTCCTTAAAAGAGCTCAGGTGAAAAGAGGTATTTTCTTATGAGTGGGCCTGGTGGGAGAGGAGCAGAGAGGTTATAAGCTGATCAATTAGATGTAGAGGAAAGTGTATCTTCTTGAGAACATGAGTAGGCATGAGAGACTTATGAACTTTGAAGGGCTCATCCTTTGTAAGAATCAGGAGGGTAATAATAGTTGCAAAGAAGTGAAGACTTTTGTGTTTTGATTTTTCTTTGAAGTGTTTTTTGTTTGTTCTCTGCTCTGTGACTGGTGGAGTTGCCTGAGGTAGGTACTAAGCAAGCCAAGTGACTGATGATGAGAACTAACTTGGGAATGAAAAGCTGGAATGGAAAATCTGTGTTTTGCCAGGGAACAAGCAGCTGATTTCTTTAGGGAACTGAAGTGAGCAGTTTCTGAAACCAAATCAGTAATGCTGAGATATTAGAAGCACTGAGTACGTCTGGCTTGTCCCTTAGAGCGCAAGGGTGTTCACAGAGCCCAGAGCAAAACATTTGGTTTCATTTCCATTTGTTCTGGAAAATTGGATGGCCTGAACTTGAATGCTGAAGTTGTTTTAGGAAATGGTGAGCACAGGGAAGTGCTCAGCCTGCTAAAATGCTGTGTGTATGTATACTCAGTATATATATACTCAGTATGTATACTGTATGTATAGATACTCAGTTTCCTCCTATTAGTCAAAAGGAGTATTGTTGAAACTCATCCTTTTGTTCATGATTTTGCTGTGAATCTCACTTCTGATTCAAAAAGGTCATACTTAGTTTAATTTAAAATTTGAATTTTTATGTACAAAATGAATTTAAGCTGATTGTGGCCATGGGAGGAAAACAATCTGAGCGAATTGAGACTTCTGAGGCTTTTTCTTCTACCTGCTTCATATGTTTATATCGGAAGTAACTGGAGTATTTTTTTTTATCAATGAGATGTTTCACCGTGGAATTCTTAACCCAGGTAGAAGGCAAGCACCAGACATTTTGTTTTTCTCCGTTATGCTTAAATAGAGTTAATCTAAAATAACAGTATAGTAGCACTGTACTGTTCATAGCAGAAACTACTGACAATTTTAATAGATGAATCCTTCATCCTGCAATCTGAGGTGCTTGTCATAATTGGGATGTGTGTCCAAGTACAAAGGGAGCTAGAGCAAAGAGCTGGTATTCCTTGAAATTGTGTTTGAAGTATTGCTAAAGGTAAATTCAATCTCACTGTTCTGCCTATGCTTAAGAGTCCAACTACATAACTTCAATATCACTAGTAAACCTTGATATGTTTTGTGAAAGTTTTGTTTTTCTTATAGAACTATGGCTAAGGAATTTAGAAAATGATAGGTGTTTGTGACTTTTAATGTGGGGTATTATTACTATTTTTTTAGTTAAAATAAATGCTTTATTATATTGGGGTGAGGGGAAGAAGAAGAAGAAAAGGCCAGTGTAACAATGAAAAACTGAAGTTGTAATGAAGAATCTGAAATTGGTTAAAAGCTATTTTCCTTTAATTGTAAGATTAAGTTCTATTTATGTGCCAAATCATATCCAAGGAAATAGGACCAATGAAAATGACTTCCTTGTTCCAAAAAAGAAGATGGAATTAAATTTTGTTATGACATTTGTCTGGGTGTATGGAGTTTGCCACCCACTATGTGCCAATCCCTCACATTGGAGAAGGAGCAAACCCTGCACTAGAAAACTTTTCAGAGCAGCTTTATGCCCCTTCTGCAGCACCTTTTCTGTAGCCTTTGCTAAGCTATCCTAGAAACATCTCAGCAGAGGTTATTTTTTCTTTTGTATTTATCAATACAAGGTGTTACAAGAAGTTAGAGATACTCCACTCAGTATGTTAACTGAAGTTCAGACTGTTATTTTTGTCTTTGTAGTCCATTCTGTGCTATCAGTTTGAGGCAAATAATTGTTTCCTTCCTTTTTAGGGAAAGGTGAACATGGAAAACCATACCCTCTCACAGAGGAAGACCACGATGATTCTGCTTATAGGGAAAATGGCTTCAACATATTTGTTAGCAACAATATAGCACTGGAGCGATCCCTGCCAGACATCCGACATCCTAAGTATGTAAATTGTTTCATCGACTATTTGGTTTTAAAGTTTTTCTTTTTGTATATCTCTAAATAACCTGTTTTCCTGGAATGTGAAACATGAATACTCAGCCAATGACGTGAGACAGCTTCATTAAATAGGAAACAGCAAGTTGGTCGCTGTTCTTAAATCATATTTTCTGTCTTTTAAACTGGCCTCTCATCTTATTAGTAACATGCTGAGACTGTACAAAGACTCTTTTAGTTGCAAAACGATTTTGATGGCGTTTCTGGGTGGGGATTTCTTAGGTAGATATAAATAACATGAAGTAAACTTTATCCAGGTTCTCGCTTGTTGAAGATGTTGAGGCTGGTGGCTGACTGACAAGTCATAAGTGCATTGGTTAAATTTTTGGACTCCAAAATGTTTGTTTTTTTCTGTAACTAAACCAAAAGAATCTAATTGTGTTACAGTTTATCAGCTATAACAGAGATGATACTAATGCTAGTGTCAGACTATGTAAACATAACGAGTGATGGTGAAAATGCACATGCAGAATTAGGGATAGTTGAATGATAGTGTGAAAATAGTTCCTTAATAGCAGTGGTATCCTAGAGAGAAACAAGAAAAAGAGTATTTTGTAAATACCCACTGAATTAAGAATGATCATGCAGTTCTCATTAAATGTATACTTCCTTTCATGTTCTGTAACTTCAGATCTCTTATGCAGAGCATAAACCTTTCTGTACCTAACTGGAAATGGTACGTATGCCTTTCTAAGGCTCCAAGCTCTAGTGCCCTAGAATCCTTCTGAGCTCTGAAGCGATGATTTAGCTTCTTTCTGTGTGATGTTCTTCACTCTTCTGAGTGTTGCAAACCTCATTGCTTTATTACACTGTATTTACAGTAAAATTCAAGTCCTGCTATAGCTGTGTTGAAAGTTCTTTTAAGTTCATTTATTTGCATGTGAACAGTGACAAATCTCATGCTAGGAAGATTTTCATTTACATTCAAATCCTTGTTTTCACCACTGCTTTCATGTGATTAGTATATGGGGGTGCAGGGGGAGGGAATCTCTATGGAGAAAGGTATTAGTGAGGGACAAAATCTTCATGACAAGCTTGATATTTTCTGTGGGATACAATTCTCTTTATTATGATTACATAGTTTAAGGCAACTACCTATTTCTTAACCCATATAAGATTGCCAGGTGAATTAGTTTGAAATAATCTGGGGAATGGAACAGAACTTGAGAGCTTGATGGAGCGGGGACAGGTGGGAGACAGGATAGATCACAATATATTGTGGCAGCTTCTTGTTTCATCAGATGTGAGTACTATTCATTCTTTGAAGAGGATGGTTCATGTTTGCATAGTAAGATTTTAAAAAAATAACTCAGAGTGGAGGAATACACCACAAAACTATTTAAAAAAAAAAGTCATTAGAGGTGTCTTCTATTTAATTGCCACATTGCATTGTTTTAAGAAAACAGTTTATTTTTATAACTTACTATTGTTTTGCATAGAATTAAGTGAAAATAAATAATGGTTTTCACTAAGCCATATATTTTTATGTGCTTCATTTGCCTTCTAGTTTGCCCGAGTTATATACAGTTTCCCTGATGTGATTTATAAAAATTCTTCCAAGAAGTTGAGTTCTACCATACAGCTGTAGAGCATCAGAATTGTCTTAAATTACATTGTTGGCATAATAAATATGCTCATCAATTGTCCTTCTCTATTAGTAATACCACAGAAAGCAATTACTAAATACAAAAGAGAACTGACATGTCTATCCTCCCTTTGTGTTTTTGCAAGTTGCTCTTCTGGCAATTTGTTTCTCACCCACTACTGTCTGCACAGTCAATGACATTTCCCTGCGTGTCCCCAGAAGCAATGTGTACAATGTGGTGTCAGAAATGACATATAAGGAACAAGTCAGTACTACACCATCCTTACTGTGTGCCCCTCTTCTTCCCTAGCTCAGACCATTAGGGACTTTCACTTAAGTCTCTCGCTTGAAAAACTCAAACCTTCAAGGTATCTGCATCCATTTTCGTGTTCCAATTCAGCTATGATGTTCAATGCAGCCTCGTGTGACTGATGTTATGGTAGTGTCCTGAATTAATTGACTTGTCATGGCCATCTAACCTTCATTATGTTAAGCACTTGTAACATGATCTCTCCATTAGTTACTGCCTGCATCATCTTGTAAAGGTAAAACGTTTCTATGCTTAGTTTGCATACTAAGAAGTACACTGAGGTGACAAAACTAGGCTCTGATGGTTATACCTTGAAACAAGTCTGGGTTTGGCTTAAAGAACCAAATAAAATGGTTTTCTTGCCATCAGTAGAGAAACTTCACAAAACAAACCTTCAAACTCCTTAAAAAAAAATGGGTAGTGAATCTTGCAGTTCAGGTCAAAAGATATTTAAGCAGCTGTAGTAGTTCCTACGTTTCTGAAATCATGTTAGGAAGGAAAAAAAATTCAAAAGCTTGGACCAAATTAATTTCAAGTGTCACCTCTAAGAGACTGTTTTTCTGGAAAGTATGCCAAGACAGCAGATAACCAACACTTGCTCTTTTGAAAATGAATTTTGAAATGAACCTTCTCTTTGGAAGTTGGGCTCTAAATTTGCAAAATACTGTTTCTGGTAAGGGGGTGAGGGGAACCAAGCAAATGTTTAAATGTCTAAGCTATGAGAAACTCAAGTTCTCAGGTTTTTATAGTATTCTTGTCTTTTTTCCTTCAAGTGTGACATATTTAAAGCATTTCAGAATGATGTATTCAGATTACTTCTTTCCTTTTTAAGATGCTAAAATGTGTGTGCTGTAAAAATCCCTGGAGGAATGAAACAGTTAACTTCTATTTTAAGGCTACCTTAACAGCTTTGCTGTTTCCTTTATATTTTTCTGTTGCAAGTACCTAATATCTCCCATATTATTTTTTTCTCTCATAGCTGCACTTGTATATTTTTTTCCGTTTCTATGGGCAATTTGGTATCTCGTACCTGTACCACTCTTACAGAGAAGTCTTCTAACAGTGGATGTGCACAGTGTTACATTAGCTAATTCTCTGTTCATTGCTCACTGTCACCTCTGGCCTTAAGTAATAGGAAATAAAAATACCCTTGCTCAACTCTTTTTGTTTATCTGTAGAAACAGGGCTTGCAAGACAGGTCAGTGCAAAGTGTATCTGGGTAAGAACCCATTTCATTTGCTGCTCGTATATGGGGTTTGGTTTTGTATTACAACTTTTGCGTAGGAAGTATGGTAAAGTGGGCCAATTTTGTTCCCTAGTTTACAGCAGTTATTAGGGAAATTATAGACGTTTATATTGAAGGAACAACTTGGCAAAGGCATCTCTGGTAAGAAATATTCCTTTTGCCTTGTTGTTTTGTCTGAGTTGTTGCAGGAGATGGTAAATGGATAGTACAGGTTGGTCATCCTGCCACAGAATCTGGAAAAAATATATATAGCTTTAAGGCTGTTCAGATTGTAGAAAGATGTGATTTATTTTTTTTATTGCAAATAAAAATCTGAAACAGAAATACCACCTCAGTTCATTAGGATTTCAGGACTGCTTTAATCAAAGTAAGACTTCTGGTGACCTAAATTTGAAGGCAACATTAGAATTTTGGGTAATACTTTGTGCTGGCAATGGAATTACTATTTAAAGATCTTTACTAATAGAAAAATTATTTCAAAATTCTGAAGAATAGTTTTTGTTTGTTTTTGCTGGCTCATGCCACTTTCTCTAGTTTGGAAAACAACAAACTTCTTAAAGCTAGGAGAAAAAGCAGTGGTATCCTGTTCTATTGGAAAGGGGGAAAAATGCTACTCAAGTGTTTACTGTAACAGTTAATTCTTATCTTCTTAACATTCTTAAATATTCCGTGTGTATCAGTTTTGTTCAAACAAATGAAATCGAATCTGATTCAAGTTTTGAATAGCTTTCAAAAATGCAATTTTGATGGGGCTGCAGGGAATGATTGCAATCATCTAGTCTGAACAGAGAGTATAAATTTTGTGGTGTATCTTGTTTCAAACCCCTAAGTCCTCATAAACAAGGGTATCTGTTTTTATTACATATTCTTTCTTGAGTCAAAGGAATTCAAGTTAATTCCAGTTACTAATAGAGTGCGGTGCAAGCATTGTCACTCGAAATATTTCATGGTTTGTGTGTTTGTATAGGTTGATTTCAACAGGGCTATTCATCTCTGTTGTCTGTAGAACGTTTGTTTATAATTTGGATTTGTGAATCTGTGCCTATGCTTGTTGGCTTACCTGAATAATGTATTACCAGAAATCCCATCCTTTTTAGATTTCAGTAGGTATAGATAAAAATTTCAGTACAAAATGAATTTGTTGTTCATATTGTACATTAAGGATGTCCAACTTGATTTCTGTGACATCTGTTTTTAGCATGTATGGTGTGGAGTTGCTATTTCCAAGTATTGGCTGACTATTGCTGTATGAAGTGGTGGAACTTCACTGCAATTCCCAGCAGTGCTCTTCTCAGAAGTCTGAGCTGTGCTTGTTGATCTTAAATGTTATATTTCTCACAGACCTCTGAAGAAATGCATTTTCATATTCAAATAAATAGAGGTTTGTTAAGGCTGCAAATTGTTCTGTGTCCTGAAAAATAACTAATGAGGTTGTTCTTTTTTAATAATAAAACCCCCACATTTCACTGTACTTGTTCTGCATAACTAAAACTCACCAACTCTACCTCCTTATCAGTAGTAGAAGCTGACAGAATGCCTGAATGGTTCACTTTCAAAATATTTGAATGCAGAGAGGTTGCTGCCCCTTGTATTTTTCTTTAAAATGAGACTAGAATGAAAGTTCTGTGGGGTTTGTGTGTGTGTGTCTTTGGAATAGCTGCAGAGTTAATGTTATCCCTAATGGTGTTTTAGTAAATTTTGAAGAAAACAAGAGTTACTAGAGGTGTATTTTAAAAATTCAAGATAAATGTTATAGTCATACAATCATGCAGTAGTTCATATCTGAATCCTCTAAAATTTTCAGT